TTTGCATTTAGCTAATTTTAGTATTTTGCGAAGGAAAAATTACCAGTCAAAGATTGCCATCACTCAACCGTTACAGTCTAGCAACGCTATCCCCACATTCTCGCTCGCTCATCAAACAACAAACTTCAATCATCGCATCTCTCTTGACCTCTCAACTCATATATATAGTGTAATACCCAATCTTCCCTTCTCCACCAATTCACACTTGCTTTCATAGTTCGGAAAATGGCTTCCTTGTCCTGCAACCTTCTTCTCTCATTGATCCTCTTCTCTTCCCTCCAATTCTACACTGCAAGCTCCACTGAATTCGAGGTTGGAGGAGATAATGGCTGGACCGTCCCATCCAAGCAGCATGACGAGATTTACAACAGTTGGGCATCAAAGAACAGGTTGAAGGTTAACGACACTGTTCGTAAGTGGCAGTTAAACTTCAAACACTATTTTATGCCAACTTCTGTGACCTTCAAACAAGCAACATTAATCATAGTACAAAGTTTCTAACCTCGTGATTCCAATGTTTTTAATGTGTTTGATAATGATGTATATGCTAATTTTAATGTTGTTTTTGAATGGTTATTTACGATTTTTTTTTTTTAAGGTTTCAAGTACAAGATAGACTCGGTTATGGTGGTGAGTGAGGAGGAGTATCAGAAATGCCAATCCTCTCACCCTATCTTCTTCTCCAACAATGGCGACACTGTGTTCAAACTGGACCGACCGGGCTTCTTCTACTTCATCAGTGGCGTTTCTAGTCACTGTGAGAGAGGACAGAAGATGATCGTCAAAGTATTGGAGCCGGCTGCGCCCCCACAGTCTCAGAACAGCACTGCCCATTCCCAACCCAAGAAAAATGGGACAGCCGAGCTGGCGGCCTTCAGTTGGACATCCATTTTCATGTTCGTCTCGGCAGTCCTTGGGATACATTTGGTCACCCATTCCTTTCCGTTATTTTGATTTATGTGCTTGTGAGAATTGTTTTGTTAAGTAGGGTTTTAAATTTTATGTTTGTCACCTTTTTTGCATAATAATGTAAATAAATTAAGTTTCTTAAAATCTAATTTCTTTAATTTTGTGACGTAATTATTGAGGATGCAGATTTTCAGTCTAAACTAGTAAAAAAAAATGTTAACCCAAACTTCATAGCCATCAAAGTGTAACCTCACATCCACATGCAAGCAATGTTAATACGAAAACACCTAAAGCAAATTGAATCGGAGGTTCATCACTTTCAAAACGTCTAAAGTGCTTTACTTTAAAGAAAATGATTCAACTAATAACATGTTAGTTCTAGTGGAAAGTTTGATTTTATTTAAATAAAATCTCGAGTTTAAGTATTATGAATGAAAAAATAAACCTCTCTTATAGAATCCGATACAACTTAACATTAAAAACAAATATGACATTTAGATATTAGAAGGTTAGTATATATATATATATATATAAAAAGATTGAAGCAATAAGACGCAAAATGACAAAAATACTTTGAAAATTAAAGAAAGTGTAGACAGAAGGTTAAAATTGAGGGGTCATCTT